GTGAATGGAAGAGTGATTTTAAAAATTCAGTTAGACTGGTGGAATAAGTACAGGTTCAAAATCATCTAATTGAGGAAATGTCGTAAAAAGTTACATTGCAGAGGTTTTTCATTATCAATTAAGTAGTTATAGTAATTGGGATTTCATGTCAACACGTTTGATCGGTATCTGATTATATTAGATAGGTACCTATGATGCAGAATTAATAATGCATTTGATTCACTCCACTTCCATAGGAATGATCTTGCAATACTTTCATGAGTTAAAATCTCGATGATGCCTATTGAATAAATGAAATTAACAACTCTCATACCCTGAAAGAAACACACTTCAATCAATTTATCGATTTACCTACCTAGGTTAACTTAGATAAGAACAGAAAACTTAGTTCATAAATGAAGTCGGCCATAGAAGACGACAAAATATCAATCCGAATTTGAAGGAATAAACTTGTCGAGAAATAATATTTTGAAAGATTGGAATTCAAAGTTTTCCTGAAACTTTTGTGAATCATTAATCGTCGAACCCGGGCGTTTGCATTCGGCAGCAGACGTATCGAAAAAGTATAGTAGTAAAACTCAGTTTTCTCCATAATTATTCAATCAGCTATGATGTTAGCCTTTATTCTACAACAAATGAGGGACAAATCAAAGAATATTACATTCAAAGGAAAGATCGAAGCTCAAAGGCATCTCGATACTTTTGGAGATGTAAATTATTCAAGGGGACATGTTTCGGACTTATTGTACCGAACATTTGTATTGTACATCATAGCTGATGATGAACCTATATAGGTTTGCAACGTCCTAAAATCGTCTAGATTTTCATCAAATAAACGTGTGAGATTCCATGGACTTCTATACTTCTACTACGGAAGATGTTTCAGAGTGACTAAAGCATACTGGAGATTCCACTCAGCCAAATTTGGAAAAAAAATTCATATGAACGTGGATCCAAAAATGCTTCCTTCTAGAGATACAGGGTGTTGAGTTTTTTTTAATAATATTATTCATTAATAGCTCAAAACACTTTAGCCGATTTCAATGAAATATTCACTGTTTTTGAACGATTACTAAACATCCAGTGGACCAATTAGATCTGATGCAGACTTTCTAGGGGCCTACCCAGCGAGCAAATCGGTTGTTTTTTTGCAGAAAAATATTACTAGATTCATACGGTTTTCATTCACTATTTGAATGAACTTACTAAAATTAGGCTTTCGACTTTTTAGAATCAGTTCATTGTGTTTTTCAAATTTCTTTTTTCATTTTCCACTTCCCGGAATTTTTCGTATCAGCCTATTGAGTTTACTGTCAATTCGAGGGGGAGGACACAATCCAAAATTATGTACACCTATTCCCAGTTTCGGCATTAAATGCTTGTTATTTATTGCCGTAATGCCGATATATTTCTGATATTGCCGACTATAATGCCTAAATGCTGAAAATTAATATTAATACCTCACGACTAGAATACCAGTTTATTTATGCCCGTTAACAGTTATTCTAAACATATCGTTTCCCTTTGAAAATACAGTAATACTTATTTCTCTCTGTGTGTTTATGAAATTGGCAATTAGTAGCTGAAATTTCCCAAACACAAACTACTGATAACTGATATAAGTATTTCACTCTTTAAATATCCAAATTATACGAAATGTTTTGTAGCAATTTTTTTATTATATTGAGGCGGAGCCATCAATGCTGATAGGTATTTATATTCTTCATAGGACATATTATGACGGTATATTCTGCTCTCTTAATTATATATTCCCAAGAACTTATTATAACCTTCAAATGTTCAAGAAAAATTCCATGCGCCAACATCCTCTCCCGACCCTCCCTAGGTACGCATGTACGCACGATGTTCTTCGAACATTATAGGAATTTCCTTTCGTGCGCTCCAAAAGATGAAAAAAATCGCGACTGTTCTCTGAAGACCAGTGGAGATCTGAATTTTATGAGTACGAGAATAAAATCATCCTACTTTCGAATCGAAATTATCTGGTATTTTTTTTTTTTTTTTTTTTTTTTTTTTTTTTTTTTTTTTTTTTTTTTTTATCGCTTGGAGCGCACGAGAGGGAATCCCTATAATGTTCAAAGAACATCGTGCGTTCCTAGGGAGGATAGGGATAGGAGGTAGGTATTGGAATTCTTTTTGAACTTCTGGAGATTATATGTTGTTGGGAATACTTCCTCAGGCAATGAATTCCAGAGCCCAGCCGTTCTATGGATGAAGGAGTTCTGATAAAGTGCTGTTCGACATCTTTCGAGGTTGACAACGAAGGGATGTGCTGACTGGGCTTGTCTAGTTCGTCTGACTGGTATTGCTAGTGAAGGGATGATAGCAGAGATTTCCGAAGAACATTTCCCGTGGAAGTATCGATAGAAAAGTGACAGGTCGCCGACCTTCCTACGGTGTTCCAATGATGTCAAAGAGCGAGTGAGTGTGGCGTCACCCACCAGGCGGATGGCTCTTCTCTGGATGGAATCTAAGAGCATCAGCGTATGTTTCGGTGCTGAACCCCATATGTGGAAACAGTATTCTAGAACAGGCCGTATCTGCGCTTTGTAGATCATGAGGAGCTGTTGAGGTGTAAAGTAGCATTTCGCACGGAACAAGAATCCGAGTTTTTGTGAAGCAGCTTTTGCGATGGATCTGACATGATTATCCCATGAAAGAGTGTTGCTGATGGAAATACCGAGCATAGATATGGTGGGTTTGGTGGGGATGGTGGTGCCAGACATTACAATGTCGGGCATACTGAGTTCCGCCTTTCTAGAGAAAATACAGGCTTGAGTTTTGGTGGCGTTGAATTCAACTAGGTTGTTGGTTCCCCAGGTTGTGATTTCAGCAAGGTCTTCATTGACAGCATTGACCTGCCTGCGCCGTGTGTTCTTAGTTTCCTGGGAAGAAATAGGAATTCTGGAAGAGAACGCTGTATGGAGGGTACTATCATCTGCAAAGCTGTGGATGGGGCAAGTTGTTACTCCCAACAGATCATTGATATGAAGAAGGAATAATGTTGGTACCAAAATTGATCCTTGTGGAACGCCGGAATTGATGCCAATTGTATCAGACGATACACCGTCCACCACTACATGAAGCGATCTGCCTGAAAGAAAACTCGATAAGAGATGGCATAGCTGAGGTGGCAAGCCGTATGATGGTAGTTTGTGGAGGAGTCCTTCGTGCCAAACACGGTCAAATGCTTTCGATATGTCCAAAGCGACAGCTAGAGATTCCCCGTGTTTTTCTAATGAAGCTTGCCATAAATGGGTGACGTAGGCAAGTAGATCTCCAGTAGATCTTCGGTGGCGAAAGCCGTATTGTCTATCATTGATGATTCCCGAGCTCTCCAGATATTTGATGAGCTCAATGTTGATGGCTTTCTCCATAACTTTGGAGATTACTGATAACAGGGCAATGGGCCTGTAGTTGTTGGGCAGGTTCTTGTTCCCTGTTTTGGGGATTGGTTGGACCCATAGCGTTATATCAGGCAGTACCTAATTAATTTTCAAAATCTGTCATGTCCGTTTGGAAAACTCCTAGAAAATGTTACTCATTGTAATTCAAGTTCAGAATTGGGGCTTCAAGTATCTACACATTTCACGAGATTATTAGTTTAGGTAGGTACATACACCCACACCATTGAGTTGAGGTATTTCGAACTAACGACATAAAGAATAAACTCCCCTCTCCACTTTATTTCGTTGTTACGTCATTCAGTGCAGTTCATTCCCGACTATTGCCGATCTATTGCCGAATATTTCATATCAATTTCCGTCTATTGCCTCATAATTCCGACTTAATGCCGCCTATTTCTGCATTTCTTCTTCAATGCGGACTATTGCCATTTAGTGCCGATCATTTTCGAATAATGCCTATAATGCCCCAAGTTTTGCGAACATTTTGTAAACCTATTGCCGCCGTGTCCTCCCCTTCGTATTATTCACAATCTTATTAGTAGTTTTAGTGGGGTCGTTTTAAGATGGAGCTTATTTGAAAACTGGGTGGTTAAATCGTCAAATAAATAAAAAATATTGGTACCCAAAATACTACAATGAATAATATGAAGAATAAATGCCTAAATACGTCATACGGTCATATTCTTCTATATACATATCTCTTACATACTTTCAGAAACAACTCAAATTATAATTGAATTTGGTCCACCCTTAAACACGAATTTGGTCACCTAGTTTTTAACTCCATCCTGTACACCTACTTTACTGTCTGGTAGTAGTACCGTGTCACTTATTATCATTGTGTTGTTGGCGTTGTATTGTGATATCTAAATGAGAATGGCCATTATCCATTCACTATAATATTTATAACAATTTCAAAGCTTGTTGTCAAATACAACCTCGTCACAGGTTCATGAACTTTAAAAGAAACAAATGATTCTCCACCATTTTTTTCATCGAATAAATTTACCTAATTTGCATAATGGAGGTGTGAGAAAATTATTTATTAATGATTGTTCATCATGGAAAATAACCATGACCGAGATTGCGAGAAATTAAATTGCATTTTTTCAAATGATGTATTCTATTTCAATCATTGTTATTGAGAAAGGAACTTATAAGATAAGGTCATTGAACACTCCTCATAAATTGTGAAATTAGATGTTTTTTAAGCAGATGGCACTGGTGAGGTTGGAGTTGGGGGTCATATCAGCTGTCAATCTCTTTTAATTTATTCACAGTAATGATTTTTTTACGAAAATGCATTGATATATTTGTTATTATAAGATTTATCGACGTGCTTTGTATTGAGACTTTATCTTCCTCGAGTACGTCTTGAATAAACCTCAATATAGGTTCATAAATGGTACAAGCAACCTCACTGCTTATTCATATTAGCACCGAACATAAACGTCTCTGTTTATGTTGGTGATATTAGGTATGATTTATTGATTACATGTCATGTAAACATCGGGCATCGGCATCCCTGCAATGATTCGTAAATGAGTAATTTTCAATTTTTTTTCCTTTCAGAATGTCCACCTTATTGAAATGGGCTCAAAACACGCAAGGTAAACTGAATGGAAAGACTAGCAACGGCACTTCCAACAGCGAACGGAAATGGATCCATCCACCCGAAGCTCTACAGAAAGGACATATAGCATATCTCGTAAAATTTTTAGGAAATACAGTAGTAGATCAACCAAAAGGTTAGTTTTTGGCAAATTTCAAATGCCTATTCAATTGATAAAAAATCATGAAGAATGATAATAGTTATTCACGTGACAAGTGGGATATAGACATTATTAACGATATGTATAGAAATATCGATGAATATCGATATCAAAGCAAACATCGAGATCGATATCCAATTTTGAATATCGCATAGCCCTAGTTTCAACCGTCGAATTTTGATTTTTGTGTGTTTTGCTTATTGCTTGAGGTCTAGAGGTGGCGAACTATCGATAGTATTGACTATTGACCTCTACAAAAAATGATATTTTACATACTAATTTTCGAGCGAAAAATCGACCATTTCCGAAGGCAAGTGATTCTCGTCCGCAGACAATAACTTTTCGTTCGCAAATACTTTTCGTCCGCTACGGCACGGTGCGAGAGCCGAGATTGAGTTGACAACTGTCAACTGTCCTTTGCTGTTGTCAAATAGATTATTTACGAAATCCGAAGTTTTCGATGTCGACGACACAATGCAATATGCACCTCATCGAAAAACTGCCCATGGTCTGTCCTCGGCTAGACAGTTTTTCGTCCTTGGCAAATGAATAACTATTACAGAATATAGTCACAAATACAAGGGATAATCAAATTTCAAACTAGTATTTACTCACCTTTCCTTTCAGGTATAGAAGTAGTCAAAGAAGGTATACGAAAGTTGAAATTCAATCAGCAGCTCAAAAAAAGTGAGACTGGTGCCAAAACGAGAAAAGTCGAACTAACGATTAGCATAGATGGGGTGGCGATACAGGAACCCAGAAGTCACACTATTCTACATCAGTTTCCTTTACATCGGATATCATACTGTGCTGACGACAAGGGTGAAAAGAAATTCTTCTCGTTTATAGCCAAACAACCTAACCAAAGTGAGTTTCACCGGGTTCCCACTAGGTGGTTATAACTTTCGTTCCATATGGTTCCATAATGTTCCATAAAAGGTCTATAAAAATAGACTAAAGTTTATATGGCATTCCCAACATCATTGTCTCATTGCTTGTTGAATCACGTTATACAGTATATATGGACTTGGAATTCATGTTTTAGAGGACTCTCCGAGGCCCAAAAAAAAGAAGGAAAGACATCCTTGAGAGCTGACGCCATTTTATTAGCAGACAATTCTCTGGCCAAACTCGAACTCCACAGTTTCTTTTTGCAAATAGTACTCATCAAATATCAGGAATCTCAGTATGTCATGTGATATAATTCCTTCCCTTACGCTCTTTCTCCACCAAACACACGCCGTTGCACAAGCCCCATAATCCATTCCCCATAACCATTATTTTTTGTCTTTTTCAAGATATGACCATAAAGTTCAAATTGAAACCCAATCTAGTTCACGTCACTTTTTGATAAAGGCATCAATTTGGAACAGAGGTAGACCGATATAATATGAACAGATTTGAATGTATAGAGCCATCGGCCAACTGCCCCCTAGTGGCCGTGGTGGCCATTTTCCAACATGACCGCCAGTAGACGGTGTCGCGTCAATTGGACGTGGAAAATTGGACGCACGACTATTGGTCGCAGTCAATTGGACGCGGCGACAATTGGACGCGGCGACAATTGGACGCGGCGACAATTGGACGCGGCGACAATCAGACGCGGCGTCAATTAGACGCGGCAACAATTCGACGCAGCGACAATTCGACGCGGCGACAATTGGACGCATGCGTAAATAAAAATAATTTTATAATTCCAATGAAATTCATTGTATAAAATATGAAATACTGATAGGCTTATATCCATAATTATAACAAATACCTATGGCCTCGTTTGACAATTATTTTCCTATCTCATATCGTAATATGAATTTACGATACGAATATAGTACAATATTTTACCTACTACCAAAAACGCTGATTATTTAATCAAATATGAGGGTTGGGTTAGGTTAGGTTAGGTTAGGTTAGGTTAGGTTAGGTTAGGTGTTATATTATAGATATGAGCCCTGCATATTCCATGCAATAAATTTCATTGGAATTATAAAATTATTTTTATTTTCGCATGCGCTCAATTGTCGCCGCGTCCAATTTTCGTCGCGTCCAATTTTCGTCGCGTCCAATTGTCGCCGCGTCCAATTGTCGCCGCGTCCAATTGTCGCCGCGTCCAATTGTCGCCGCGTCCAATTGTCGCCGCGTCCAATTATCCGCGTCCAATTTTCGTGCGTCCAATTGACCACGTCCAATTGTCGGTAATCCCCAGTAGACACCCGAATGACATCAGAAGATCGATAAAGTTTGCTGCTGAATATTTCGTGGATGTTTATTGAATATTTTGAATGAAATAATGCCTTTCATAGGTTATATACCGGGTGTCCATCACTTATAGTGTAGAAAAGCTATATAGCTCCATTGCAGAGGAAATCTTTTTGGGGATAGGATTAATACAATATCGTCAAGTCTATGAAGCAAAATCATTTCGATCTCTACAGGATGTGCTTCCAACGCGGGGTTACAAGATTGATAATTTTTTTATTAGTTTAGTATGGGATATGGAAAAGATCATCAATCTTGTAGCCTCGCGTTTAAAAAACATCATGTAGAGATCGAAATACTTATGCTGCACAGATCTAAAGATATTGTACCATACCTATCCCCACAAAGATTTTTTCTATCTCTTTTTGCAATATGGAGCTATAGAGAGAGCATTTCCACATTACTTTTAGATACCCGGTATATAATCAAAATAAAAAGGCATGATTTCATTCCAAACATTCAATAAACATTCACAAACCTTCAGCAGCAAACTGTCTCTCGGGTGTCCACTGGCGGCCATATTGGCCACCACCGCTGCCAGGGGGCAGTTTGCCGAATATTCTAGCTTAATGCTGCACTACACACCGGTTTTCGTTGAAAATTGTATATACAAGATGTTTTTGAAATGAGTACCTACATATACTCAGCTCATATCAGATTTTTTCTAATTCTTTTAATTAACGAGAAATCTCATCCCGAAAATTGAACGAAAAACGAGAACAAAATCAATTACGGCACTTTAAAACAATTCAAATGGTTGAACTCCCCGTGATTGTGCCTTCTGCACGGAAATTTGAACAGAGGTGAAGTCAGAATTGCTACAATGTAGAACTTTGGGTGGAAAAAGGGGTCTAACCCCAAATTCAATATTGCTCCCGATATTTTTTATATTGGTGTCATTCCATAGTATACGTCGAGCTTCCTCAAGGTTTGAAATAGTTGCACTTATTACAATGCCACCCTGTATATATAAAATCATCAAAAGCACGGGAATCGTTTGTTATCAGAATCCGTCTTCCAATCTAATCGCGATATTAAGAATTTCGAAAAGCACCTGTCATGGAATACTCTTCCCATATTTGGAGTGCAGCATCCAAACATATCCTGAAACTGTTGGATTCTGTCCAAAAAAAGGCAATCCGTCTCGTGGGTGATGCCTCGCTCACAAACTCACTCACTTCTCTGGAACACCGTAGACAAGTTGGCGATCTGGTCCTAGTTTATAGATATTTTCATGGACGATGCTCTTCTGAAATATCAACAATTGTTCCTCCATTGGCAGTCCCCGCGAGATTAACCCGTCAAGTTGAGGCTTCGAACCCCTTCGAGGTCACTTCGGAGACCTGCAGAACATCTCTTTCACATTTCCAAGGGAGGTGTTCCACGAGGCATATAACCTCCAGAAATTCAAGAAGAACACCAATTCCTACCTTATTTGCCTTGGTTCTCACGATGTTCTCTGAACATTACAGGATATCCCTTTTCGTGGGAACCAGAACATAAAAAAAACTTATATTCTCTATCTTTGTCACAACAATGGTTGATTAGTTTAGGTTGAGCAAAAATTCGAGAATTAAAGACAAATCTGCCTTTCCTCGTATTGGGTGAATAAATGGGACTATTATTGTTGCCTGTGTTACACAATATCATGCAAATTAGTACCATTGTGATTGAATATTTCGATTCCATAAGTATATTCCTGAGATCTCTTTGACAACAATTTGATCAAATTTGTTTGATGTGACGTTATTCTTGCCTGTCTGACTCAAATGGTTTGAAATGTCAAGAAATCTTTGTCACACTATTTGAAGATTTTTGAAAAAAAAAATATTGACTGTGTATAGGTTCTCTAAAATGGGAAAAAGTTATTAAAAATAAGAGGGAGATAAATACAAGATAATGGCTTCAAAGAAGAAATATTGGTAGAGGAGTCCTACCTAAGATGTTTGATGAAGTCAGACTGGAAGATATCCTGCAGAAATGAGGAGAGATCATAACAAAGTCTCTAGTCAGCCAAGCATAAATTTGGGATTGGAGCAAGACAAAAATATTCCTATGATTATCCGAAATGGTCCTCAGTCCAATTACCAGGACAGGAATTTTTGAAGTATTGATAATATTAACGATAATATTTCTTGTTAATTTCTAAGATATAAAATGATGATCAATGAAGAAAACATGAAAACAAACATCATAACCTTATTGTTTGATCTAACATGACACATATTTAGAACAAGTTCTAAAGGACCCCGCAAATTTAGTACGTAAAATGGCTTTCGGCTAAATTTTCTGAAAATTTGATATGTTTAAGACATTATCGTCCTTATCACACAGTCCAATTTACAGATCGATCCTATGACCAGTTTTCGAGCTACAGGGTGTCAAACATTAGATTTTGGCTGTTTAGAATATTTTGCATCAATTTGAATTATGTGCTCTAAGTCGTGATTATTCTTCAGTAGGAATGAACTCTTCACGTCTAATATCTACCTCATGAATCCCTCTATTCGGTTAGAGGATAATATCACATACAGAGTATTGCATTCCATCATGACAAGGTAATATTCTTGGGAAAAGACAAATATTGAAAACATCAGAATTTTGATTTTTACTCAATCACTGAAAACTTGAAAACAAACGGCTAGAATCGGCCAATTATGTGACACAGTATGGGTCTTGATCATGAACATGAGGATTCATATGATTACCTCTGATACCATGTCCGGTTGGCCATATATAGGGTGATGACAATTTGAAAGCTTATAGAATTGATGTAACTCATGTACAAAATGAGATACATTTCTATAATATATGAAGTGGAAAATGAAATGTCTCATGAAATAACCCACCCCCACCAAGCCCCTGATGAGTCACAACCACCCCAACGCATATCATCTCAATAGTAGCCCCTACTTATTATTGTGATACCTCATTGAATAGCTTGGTGAAAATTCATTTCAGTTGTATTATTCATATCTCGAACTGGGTGAACTAATAAAAAATATTCATCACCTATATCATTCTGCTGGGGTGACATATTAAATCCGTAACTTTTTGTAGTATGGGAAAAAATCGTTATTATCGAGCATTATATAAATAACCATAAAAGTGAAATTGCTTATGTGAACAGTTGGCTAGTGAAGCGAGAGAAAACTAAAATCTACAGAATGTTCTAGTAACCTAACCTAACCTAACCTAACCTGAGCTGGTCAGACGGTAAGGACACAGCTCCATTCAATCCAGTCAAATTGTTCAACATAATTTTGATCTTATGAAAACATAATCATTTAGGTACTAAACATTCTGTTCATCGCCGTGTTCTCTCGCTACACCGATCTACTGTACACAAATACTTGTTTCAAATCATCTGAATATAACTATTTCAGCAATATGTCTCTATACTGCTCGATATTAAAGATTTATTTTTCAAAAGTTATAAAATTAATACGTCACCCCAGCAGAATAATATAGGTGATGAATATTTTTTGTTAGTTCACCCAGTTCGAGATATCAATAATAATACCACTGGAATGTATTTTCACCAAGCTATTTAATGAGGTATCACAAGTTGGGGCTACTATTGAGATGATATGCGTTGGGGTGGTTGTGACTCAGGGGCTAGGTGAGGGTGGGTTATTTCATGAGACATTTCATTTTCCATTTCATATATTATAGGAACCATTCGTGATATGTATCTCATTTTGAACATGAGTTAAATCAATTCTATAAGCTTTCAAATTGTCATCACCCTATATATGGCCAATTGGACATGGTATCAGAGGTAATCATATGAATCCTCATGTTGATGATCAAGACCCATACTGTGTCAAATAATTGGCCGATTCTAGCCGTTTGTTTTCGAGTTCTCGGTGACTGAGTAAAAATCAAAATTCTGATGTTTTCAATATTTGTCTTTTCCCAAGAATATTACCTTGTCATGATGGAATGCAATACTCTGTATGTAATATTATCATCTAACCGAATAGAGGGATTCATGAGGTAGATATTAGACGTGAAGAGTTCATTTCTACTGAAGATTAATCACGACTCAGAGCACATAATTCAAATTGATGCAAAATATTCTAAACAGCCAAAATCTAATGTTTGACACCCTGTAGCTCGAAAACTGGTCATAGGATCGATCTGTAAATCGGACTGTGTAATAAGGACGATAATATCTTAAACATATCAAATTTTCAGGAAATTTAGCCGAAAGCCATTTTACGTACTAAATGTGCGGGGTCCTTTGCGCTGTTGTCTGACATGACGTCACTGATGACATCACAGATCTATAGTTTGATCAAATTGTTGGACCGTGAGACACAGACTTTAGGTTTATTTTGCAACGATATTCAATACTAAATTCACATGCCTCGGCATGTCGTGTTTATGAGAAAATTGTGAAAATCTTTTACGTTTGAATCCAACCATTTTCAAAATTATTCTTTCAGTTGATAATGATGCAGAAGAAGCGCACGAGTGCTTTGTATTCATCTCCGATAAGCTAGCCGAAGAAATAACTTTAACGATCGGCCAAGCTTTCGAGCTCGCCTACAAGAGATTTCTGGAGACGTCGGGGAAAGATCTCGAATCTCAACGCCGGGCGATGATTGCTCAGCAAAAAATCAAGAGACTGGAACAAGAGAATAACGTTTATAAACAGAGGCTGTTGGAAATTTGTCAGTTTGCCGGGATAAAGCCGGAACTGGATCAGTATTTGAGGAAGCACGAAATCAAGAATATCTTGGAAATTAAAGCTGCCAGTGGTGATAGTACTACTAATACTGTAGTTCAGCAAAATGGTAGTGTCAAAGAACTCCTTGATCTGAATTCTGATCTAACAAATGGGAACGGTGAGTTAAAATGCTTGTAGACCTATGAGTGTGTAAGAGTTCTTCATTCATTTATACAGAGTGTTTTCGAAGTTGAGGCATGTTCCTTAATAAGAATTAGAACTCGCCGAATGAAACATTTCACCAAAATGATATTCTAAAATTCACCTGTAAAATTGATCTTGTTTCGGTCACCGCATTTTTTTATAATCGAAATGATGCGGCCGAATCCGACTTACTGTAACATAAATACTTCAAGATGTTCAATATTTTTGTGAATGTGCCCTATTGCACAGAAAAAGAACTTTGTGAGAAATTATGTTTTTCTACGGCTATAACACAAGATTGCTCTCGTTTTATTGTGTTCGATACATCAATGAGGTACTTTGTATGTCATCAATTTTATTTCCGTATCTGATATCACAATGACTCCATTCTGATATCATTTCAGAAAAAACTCATCGTCCATGGAATGTCAAATTTCAAGCAATGACAGCTCTGTCTAATAAATGAGCATTACTTGACTTGAAATCAGATGGCTACATGACGAAGAAATCGAAAATGCCGCTGTAATCTAGTATAGCCGTAGAAAAATTATAGTGTATAACTTGCACGGAATGCTGATTTCCTACTCGAATTCAAACTTCATTCTCGTAGGAAATCACTATCATTTCGTGCTCGTTAAAGAAAGAATATACTATTTTCTCCAAGCAGCATAAAAAGTGGATTTTCTCTGACACTCAACAGGCAGGAAAAGTTTGTTGCTATGCAACATTCCAAGTAATTTGAATGAAATTAGTAATCATAATTGACACTGACATTGGGTGAACACAAAATGATGGAGTTTTCAATAAAGAAATTACACAAAATTGGTTTTATAACATTTGGAGAAAATTTATATGTTTCACACGGCAGCAAATGAAGATTGACCAGTCAATCTACTACTTTGCTGCCTAGTAGAACAAATAACTACCTTTCTACACTGCACCAGCAACTGCAGCACTGAATCTGACGATATGCCAGGACCGTAATAAAGATTAGTGAAATGTTCAATTGTTTATTCTTTCGTTTTTTGCAATTTCAAAGACGGCGTTTTTCGGTGAAATGGTTCATTTTGATGACCTCTACATTCTGTTGAAAAAAATACCTCACATTCGCAAAAATATTCTATAATCTCCTCTTCAAATATGGATGTCGGTACTAGAGTTCAGACTTTTCATCTTTTGGAGCGCTTGAATAGGAATCTTTATTATGTTTGTGGAACATCGTGCATACCTATGGAGGATAGGGAGAGGAGGTAGATATCGGTTTTTTCAAAACTCAGAAGTTATATGCCCTAATAGCACACAACGTCCTAGCGACGTCCCTATTTGGTACAATTCACGTACATCTCATGCAATGTCCGAGCCAGGACGTCCACGGAATGTCCAGCTGGTACATCATTTCAAATGTCCTAGAAATAGCATCCCTTAGACGTCCCACGTGGTACATATTGTAGAATGCCCATGCAAGGACGTCCTTGGCATGTCCCTGATCGGATATGTTTTTGAACGTTCCTTTGGGGACATCCATTGGATGTCTCGAGTTGTACATATTCTGGCATGACTTCAGATCTTATGTAATGTATCTTCTAGACTATCATAAAATGTCCCTGATGTCACATTCCTTCAGTTATCTCTGCACAGACGCCCTTAATATTCCCAGGATCGTATAACAATCGAAATGTCCCTTAGGGACATCCTTCGAATGTCCCTTAGGGATATCTGTCGGATGTCCCAATTGGTACATGCATTTTACTCTTCCAATGTCCTAGAAATAACGTCCTATGGACGTCCCAGTCGGTACTTTCAATATGTTGTCCCTGCGAGGACGTTAACTTACACCTCGCCGACGATTGATTGCTCGTAGGCTATAAGTACTCCTCGTCAATCTCCTTTACCTATGTCCATTGGACATCCTTGGGAAACTTTTTGAGGACCTTCTACGGACCATCAACTCAACTGGATGTCCTAATCAGTTATGCAAGATCTGGTCCTAGAGGGACCCAGAAAAATTCGAATTCAAGAATAATTCGTACGTCTCTGGGACATCCTATGGACATCCAATTGATATCCCTCAGCGTTGCTGATAGGTTGTCCTATGAATGTCCTAAGGATGTCCTCTGTAGTGCTTGATGAGGAATACTGTAGGATTTGGGTATTCGATAGTTGTCCCAGGGACATCCCTCAAGGACGTCCCTTGTTGGTCCTCAAGTGGGACATTTGTGCGTCCCACAGACATCCAATGGACGTCCACGGTACCAAATTCGAACGTCCTGGATGTCCCGACAGGGCGTCCTAAGGATATCCATGGGACATAAGTGTGTTATTAGGGATGAGTTCTTGAACACCGAATACAATAAATAACTGAATACCAAACAAAATTTCGAAAAATTAAGGTGAAGCTGTCCAAATTATTGAGAGGATCGAAAAAACAATTCATTGTTCAATTTACCTGGGCAGTCTTATTTGACGGTCAAGAAAATATCAGATGCAAACGCAATCAGATTTCAAAGAAAAAGTTTTTCAAGATTTTGAAGTAGGTACTGTTAAATTTCATAGTGAAAATATTCATATTGGTAGATATAGGGTTGGCATAGTCGAATAATAATTGATCTTCTCTACGGTTTTGAAGTTTGTAATGAATTGGATATATCATTGTTTTGAAATTCAAGAAACCTCTGAGAAAAAATTAATGAATTATGGAACGGCCTTGAAGGATGTAATGCTTTTTTTCTGAAACATGCACATTTGAACATCATTTATTAGTGAAATATTCACATTATTATGTCGTCGACGAAACCGCAAAACCAAGTAACTGCAAATACCAAAATTTTCAGGAAACACTAAAAACTTAATAATTTTGAGTTAACTGATCAAATAGTAACAAACCACCTGATTATTATTATCCTTACGTTCGTGCATTGATCATTGAAAAAAAGTCATTGTTTACGTTTGTCAGCGTGAGATATTCGGTTTTGACATGTGCTTCCGTGCGAAAGCAACAACAATTATTCAAAAAAGTAATTCGCAAAAACACGTAACTTCATTTTTCTGGACTTTCCGCTTAACAAATACTTGAGATAAATTCTCACATCCTGTGTTGAAATACCAATTGAAGTTGAGAATAAACTGTTTTACAAATCTGTTCTATAAAAAGTCACTCACCAATTAGCATAGATTGATCTCTGTGAAAAGAAATTGAACACAAAATATCAGAGGCGTGAATCACGTTGCCAACTGCTAGATACTTGTTTTTGATGACCCCTTTTATTTTGTTTTTCAGATAGGGGGTTTTGTATTCATGGATTTTAAAATATGATAGACCGATTGCCGCCAGAATCCAATTTTCGAATTTTTGTCAGTTACTTGGTTTTGCGGTTTCGTCGACGATGTGCAACTTTCTCCAATATCAGTGTCTACACAGGGTCTATTGATAAATCATTTACTGTGAACTATATAATGCCATGAATACTTCTATACCGACATGTTGATAGGCAATAATCGACTTACGTTTACGCTTTATCAACTCATAATATAACATTAGTTCACGTGAATTTGGTTTTTGGTTCCATGAACTAGTGACCTTTCTCCTGTGTCACCCGGTATAACAAGAATAGGCATATAGTCAATGAGTATGACTATTATTTTCGAATTTCACCCACTTAGCCTTCGTAAATCAACTCATCCAAGACTGTTTGCAAACCATCATGGTTTGGAAATATCGAGTTTTTTCTATGCCTTTGCTGAATATACCTGGAAACTAAAAGTATCCATGATTTTTCAGCACCACCTGTCCCTCCTAGGACATTCGATAACTCGCCCTCCGTGGGAACCAAATTGGAAGGTTTAATGCTCAACGAGTTGGATCCAGACAATGATTTTGATCCGAGGTCGTTTGAAAACGTTAACCATTCAAATGACTCAAATCTAAGCAACAACGGAACTGGAGCACCTCCACCATTAAGTACGTGTGAAGTTCGTTACTTCTTCATTACTATGCATTTTTTTCAATCCAGTGTTCTGGAAACCAATTGTTCATACTATAATTAATTATTTTTCAGTTGCTCCACCTCCAAAGGCTGCTCGTCGGGCTAACTTGAATCTCTCCATGAATCATAACAATAATGAACTTTCAAATAAAACGCCTGACCAAGATTTGTTTGGCTCTAAACCGTTTAGCCCTGATTCAACGATTTCCACAAGCAGGTAAAAATCATATTGTCTTAACTATCCAGTGAGCAGATTTGAAATTTGATTATAAAATAATTGTCATAGCTTGAAGACATATTATCCTCTAAACTTATAACTTAATTGATGGAGACGAAATTGTTTACATTGTGTAGGATACTAAAGGATAACCCATGATACACAGAGACAGTTTTGTGTCGCAAAATACTACGTCCTACTCTGCGTAGTCTACAGAGCATCTTAATGTTAAACAAAATATTGTTACAAATACTAGGAAACTCCGGCTAGAAGAAGTTGTTACAGCGTGCGATGTCGCATATGACTATTATTAGTATTATTTAATTTGTTTGCCATTTAGTCAATTAAGGTGAAGATTTGTACTAGCTGCATACACCACAGGTTACGAAACTGATCAATCAAATGAAGATGTTTTGTATTTCGTGTAAAATTTTATTTTCAAATCGCATAGCGCTTCCGGATAATAAGCCATCAAAGGTCCAAAATTAAAACAACGACATCATTTATGGTACAAACGGTAGTGAAAACACACATACATTCAACAAATAAGTACCCCAATGGCTTATTGTGAAATTTTTACTCCTCGATTGCTAGAGCAACGCGTGGTCCGGTAGAGATGCGAACCTACTATCTTGTAATTGAATTTTTACGAGCCTGAAACTTACCACTTCGCCACGAACCTTATTAATGAAAAAAATGAATAGAAAGATGACAACACTGAATTAATGGGATAATCAGCATTGAGGCTAGAGAATAATAGGTTGTGTCAGGGTGAACATCAATATCATATTATGCTATGAAACGATTCTGAATATTCTCAGAATATTCAAACAGACAATGATATATAATTACTATGATCTGAAAATCGAAAAATATTTCAAACCCAAACTCTCAGCGGTACTAATCAATGGAGCCGCTAGAAGAAAAACAATAAAATATTGCTGGTCGTTGAATTGAACCCTTCATACTAAAATTTCATGAAAGAGTGTTCACAAACATGAGCTTAACACCACAATAATCGATTTCCATAATGAGTACAGAATGTAGTTTTCCACAAGAATAATGATTCTTACCATCTTGTCACGCCTGTACAATTGTTATTTATTATTTAATTCTCAGACTAATTCACCTTGAATTACGTAACAATTTGCAATCATGATTTGTAACTGAGTGGAATCAATGTGCGAAACAATATCGACATATCTGAAAAAACGTTTTGTTCAATTATAAGAAGGTATTCACGTCTAACCATCGAAGGTTTGTCACTGAGCTGAAAACTAGCACAGAGTAGTACGTATGTACAGGGTGATTGTTTATAGTTTACTCAGTTAATATTGGTCCTACAGAAACATTCAAATGGGCAAAAATGTAGTATTTTTTATGTGCATTCAGAATAATAATAATAATAATAAATTGCCTTCATTTATCCTGGCGGTGTTTAGCAAGGCTACTCTTGCACTCAACCAGGTTAGAAATATGAAGTACATTCTTGTATACATCATTAATAATAAAAATAATAATGAGTTGAGTTAGCATCGGGGGGACTTATCGAAGTCCAGACAGCTAAACCGCTAGTGTGGGTCCATCGTGTCGCCCGTGAGTATGGCATCCTTCACAAGAGTCTCGCAGCTCAGCCGAAGGCTAGGATGTCGGTAGCCGGGATGTTTGGCGCTTCTTCCACTGAAAGAGTCGTTTGTCCGAATCTCCCCCATCTGAGCTGTGTTAGCGCAGGACATTGACATATGATGTGGATGGGAGTTTCGTCGTTTCCGAGACATAAACGGCATGTTGTGTCATCGGAGATGCCCAGAATGTTCAGATGTCTGTTAAGGCGGCAGTGTCCAGTTAGTAAACCAGTGACAACTCTGCATTGGCTTCTTCGCATATTCAGAAGGGATTGGGTGAGACGTATCGAAGGCCTATCAATGAAGGTCTTCGCCTGCCTCATACCCCTGGATTCAGTCCATTCCCGACAAAACCTCTCTGTCAGAAGTTCTTCGAGTTTTCGAAGTCCTGTGCAGAGAGAAATGCTCACGATGGGCTCTGGGCCCGCATGACGGGCTGAAGAACCTTGCCTTGCTAGAGCATCGGCCCTTTCGTTGACATCTATCCCACTATGTCCCGGAACCCAAAGTAGTTCGATACCGAGAGACCACTCTTGGTGCTCGTATAGCCTTGAGAGCGGCCTGACTGTCGGAGCAGATGGAGATGCGCTTGCCTCTTGTGTGGCGTCGTGTGAGTTCTTGTGTGCAGGCAAGGATGGCGAAAACCTCAGCCTGGAATACAGTGGCAAATTGTCCAAGGTGTTGAAACTCTTCGTAGTCTTGGTTCTGCCCGTATACGCCAGCACCAGTGAGATTCCCAGCACGAGACCCATCCGTGAACCAGGTGAGTCCGGTGCTTGGAATCAGGGTGTGTGGTTCGGTTAGCCACTCGTCTCTATCATGAAGGGTAAATTTGACAGAGGAGATAAATTCATGATGCGGCGTTATGCGGTCTTGCACCATGGTTAGAACAGGACAGGCTAAGGTAGCTTCTGTCCAGATCTTGGCATGACCTGTGTTGCAGCGATAACCAGTCCACTGATTGGCGCAGTTGAGTCTGTACGTATTATAATAATAATAAAAATAATTACAATAATGATAATTATATTAATACAAGCATTAAAAGCGATATTGCCAATAATAATAATAATAATAATAATAATAATGATAAAAACAACTCTCGGAGATCCAGAAAATCCCAGCGTGCCGTGATAAGGCACACATCCTGGCTGGTGGTATGCAGAAGGCCGTCATACTAGGATCATTGCGTCTACTCAGGCACACGGTCTTGGTCCCAGTAATTATTCACCTCACAGGCTGTGGGGAGTAGTCACTGGATTTTATCCAGCACGACTCTGCGTGACGTCGGAGGCCGCAGGTTCGTGACTGGAATTATATGAACTAAAATAATAATAATAATAATAACAATACTAACAATACCAATAGTGACAGTAGTGCCGAAAATTATGTTCTAGATCCTAATTTTGAAGGATATCAGAGAGTCAAGCTTCATATGATCACTGTAACTGTTGTACAATTTGGAGGCATGATATGAGAATGATCGTTCATACAGCGTGGAAGAGTGTTTTGGAACAGTCAGAGTATCGGTGATCCGCAGATATGTGCTCGGTATTTGATTTCTGGGTATAAGTTTTTCGAGGATTAGTTTATGCAAAATCATATCTGATGGAGTTGTCGTCTGTTATACATTTTGAACCATTTAATATCAGTTATAAAAGAAGTGACATGTATTTTACTTTTAATGCCAAAGATTAGAAGTATACAGGAGTTTTGGACTTTTTGTATTCGTGTCGATGTTGCTAGATCGAGACAAGGGCCATAGAGTACTAGAAAATGCAAAAAAGCATCGTTAACCTACAAATTTCACATGAACTGGCATCTTCTGATTTCAAATATATGTATATACTTTATTATTGAGGTTATCTTTGCCATTTGGCATCTATTGCAGCTGTAGAACGCCAGAAATCGCAGCATTGTTGACTGGTGTTCAGCACCTGCCTTAAATCTACTACAAAAAATCTATATTTTTCGAAAACTGTCAAGAGTCAAGAGATAACCTCAATAAATTATTTACAGAGCGTGTCTCACTTTAAAGCAGCTATTATTCGTGGGATTCTTTCCAAATTTGGACTGATATGAATATACATCGATATGATCATTTTCAACATTGCCGTGCGTTTTTATTGAAATAAAAAAGTCGATCTTTTATGACATCAAGAAATCATATTGGGCATTTTTCCCTGTAAACTAATTTCATAGTATTATTCCTCATATACTTTGGAATGTCCATATGCGAAAATTCGACTCATTCCAAATTACCAGGATTGGCTTTAATTTTTCATTTTATGCCTCGAAAAAATAATGAATTTAAATTAGGTGCCAAACAAGATATGCTTCTTTTGTTGAACTCACCGTTTGCGAGTAAATGATTATTTACCTTCGCAAAAGTGCTTTTCAGATGTGCTTGTGTTTTCGAAACCCTCCATAAAAATTACATGAAAATCCACATATGGAGGTTCAAAACCACGAAGAACAATATAATGAGGTTATTTTGCCCGTTAAAAAATGCGTAATATGATTTCATGAAACATCAACCACTTTTTATTTCAATAAAAACGCACGGCACTGTCCGAAATGATGTTCGTCTCTGAAAAACTGATCATTTTGATTTATCCATACCAGTCCAAATTCAGCAAGAATCGAGGAAAGTGAAATAAAGGGTTTTCCTTTTAAAAAATACCAGTTCATGTAAAAAATTTTGATTTACGATGCTTTTCGTCATTTTCTAAGACTATATTCTGAATGCCCATAAGAAATACCGCACTTTTGTCCATTTGAACGTTTCTGTATTTCCAATAATAACTGAGATAGCTATTGAGTAAAATGAAAACAATCACCCCGTACCTGCCCTTCCGTTCTAATTAATACGAGATTATTATTGAGTTGATGATCATTTTTATCTGGTGATATATCAGATAAAAATGATCATCAACTCATTCGAAATAATCGGAATAATGTCCATATATTTTCCACGATCTGTTATAAGTATTTATAATGTGAAGTAGAGTTCAGAACAAACTTGTCTCTAGCCACCGTTCTGAATAATTAGATCTGTAAATATGATAAAACTGTACAATTGTTTTCAGCATAACTAGTAGCAAAATTTTGGATCCATTTGAGATGGGCGATTTTGGCATGACACCAACACCACAAGATATCGAAAATGCAATTGGATTGCTGGACAAGAGGATTTTAGAAATGAAGGTGAGTATTGAGCAGTCACTTGTAAATGAACATCAGGTATACCTACTTCCATAGTTCCTGTGTTATTTTTTTCATTCCAAATCAATTTGAAAGGTACATTTCAAATCTGTCAGAGAAGTACATTTCATTGGTCATTGAAAGCGACACATTGAAGGGAATTGGAAACGAAAATGTAAATGGTGATTTATTGAAATGAAATAGTTTCCAGTACTGCACGCTTTTTGATATAGGTACAATACTAGTTGAATGTGTTTCTTTCAATAAAGATTGACTATATATATTCTGGGCGTCTTACAGATGGAAGTTATATTTATCATAGTAGGTGGTTTTTGCAGAATTATGACAGGCAGCAAACAAATATTTTAACGAATTAAAATGAATGATTTCAGTAATGATGTAATTCCTTTTTCCACCTTTGGAAAATTACTTATCTGTAGGCATTCTACTTGACTCACCCAAGTAACAAGAAAAATCTTCTCATGGACATTTATGATACGTCGCTGGCGTTCTTTCATCGGATCTATTCGTGTCAAGATAGAGCACATCTACGCTACGTTACATGAATGAAACTGTAGTGGGTAGAGAGGGGGAAACATCGCAAGTGAGAATATCATTGAGAGGGGGTAGACCAATGATATAGGTACTTTTCAAATAACTGCTGCATTTCTAATAAACGAGTCCTCCCTCTCTGCCTACCTACTATCTTAAGTAGCAGATGACCTCTTTTATTTCAGATTATCATTTCATTTTGAATCTTCAATCTTTCCATGATATCTACTTACTCTTGGTTAATGTAAAAATGTCATGTGAAATTTGCATAAAGTTCCTGCTAGCTTGCTAGAATGTAACCATAACTTGAGTGTTTCTGTTTGTTCACATAGACCACATAAACCGGGAGCCCGCAACGTTTTTCTTTGTGTCTCATTTGTTCACACTTAGCTGAATATGAACCCCCCAAATCTTACCATCCACTACACGGATATGAGTTCGCCGAATAAAAATCGTGGACAAAATGGTGGGGGCTAAGTGGGTGAAGTTGTACTGAAAAATCCGGGGTCTTGAATAATAATCACCTACCGTTTGGCGTATGTCGAAAGTTACTGTAATTGAAAAAACAATTGCTGGGATGACATTGCCGAACGTGTAGGGTGGATACGATGCGCAGTAGTGCTGTATATATTGTCTACAAATTTCTAAATGAAAGTTATCATTTGCTTATGTTTGGAATTTTGTGAATTCAACTAATTTTTCACGAATACTCAAGTTGATATGATCGCCGATGATTTTGCCTCGATCGGGGACCAACCACCCCCGTGTACTTATGTCTTTAGGGTATGCGCTTATCATACATTAATGTTCGGCATTCATTTTATATTATTTATAAATAAAAGTCCAATTTGCGTTAACAATACCATTAATAATTTGAATTTCATCGTTCGGCTATGTTGTTTTATGATAATAATTAATAGTATGATAGACATCATTATGTGAACCCCGAACAAAATAATTGGATCTGTTTTATGTAACTAAATGAGAAAACATACATCGTCGTTTATTCCGTTGTTTCAAACATGTGTTATGACGACGAATAATTGATCTTTTCTTTGCCATTCACACAAAACAGTTACAATAATTTTATTCGGGGGTTACAAAATGACATCTATTATATACTGACTGTAGGTTATTCGAGGAGGTGGTACATTCACTTGATTATTTGGGTTTTGCTCCTTGTTCCTATACCTAAATAAATATGAGTATTATTTTCTATCAGGAAGCCTAAAAGAAAAATCCCATAGCTTGTCAGTGACACTTTGTTTGGAAAAATAACGACGACTATACAACGGTAGTACATTCCTGGCATATCTGAGAAAATAAAAAGTGTTGGTGATAAGTTCCAAGTAAAAACAGTGTCCAAAACTGAAAATAGAATGATATTTATTCTAACCCAAACAAAACCGAATAAAGAACAATCATCAAAAAATTGTATTTATATTACACCTTGTGTTTGTGGAAAGTATTATATGAGTGAAACTAAGAGATCTCTCTCAGTAAGGATGGAGGAATAGAAGTACAATATCAAGAAAATACATATCGATAAATCAGAGCTAACTGAACATATCCTTACTAAAAATAGACAACATATATGGCAGAGTGAAATAATATTAAAATCATAGGAAAGGAAGATAACAACCAGCAGAGAAAAATCAAGGAATCCGCTTGCATTCTTCTGAACGGAGACAATAGCATTGCTTCCTGTTCAGTTGATATAGATAGAACATGGTATTCACTACTGAAAACTGAACATGAAAATGGTAGATTCAAGATCAATTGATATATTCGGAAAACGATTTTTTATATTTCCATTTTGTTTAAAAAATAATATAAAATCAATGCCGAACATTAATGTATTATGAACGCATACTCTACACCCTAAAGACAAAAGAACGCGGTTGTGTTTGGTCCCCCGATCCAACCAAAATGTTCGGCGATTATATTAACTTGAGTGTTTGTGAATAATTAGTTGTATTCACAAAATGCGGAACATAAACGAATAACAACTCTCAACTGAAAAATTGTTGACAACAATATACAGGGTGTCCGGAGATAAAACCGACAAAACTCATGGGGATATAGGGACTGTCGATATGATTCCAAAATGCCATAAACGAATGTCCAAAACGGCTTTGTTTCTGAGATACAGAGTGATTTGTGGATTTTGACAAAAAATTTGACAAATTAAAATCAAAGAGTCGACCTATTTCGAGAGATTCCTCAGAAATTGACAGGGTGAAAATTGATTTATTCATTACTTTACGAAAGCACTGTATTTCTGTGTGGCTAGTGGTTAGCACCACCAGAACGGTCTGGTTACAGAGGAAACATCTTATAAGTAACATGTATAAAATTCAGCTTTTATACTTTAACGAAAGTCAAGTTTCAATTAGGCACCATGGTAACGTGTCTGGCAATGGATGACGTGGTTTCTAATATTATCCCGGATAAAATATATTGAAAAAAATACAACCTCTTATGATGTTATATACTGTGCTTACTGCTGAGTGTGAACAAAAAGGAACACAACAAACACGAGTTGAGAACGCGGTCTAAAATCATTTTTTTATTTTCTTAAAAACAGGCTTCAGCCTTCACGGCTATCTTGCAAAACGTTGGGAATTTTGACTTACTTACTACATACCCTCTAGTGACGCCAACTATTCAGAATATTGATATGAAAATTGAATTTCATGATAATTCTATCTGATGGAAACTGTCTTATTTCAACGTTAATTCTCGCTCTTTTTTTTCAGACTGGGTTTAGTCGAGGCATCAGCTTTGGAAATGATGACTTTTCTCTAGAAAGTCTAGATCCATTAAAAAATTGATTGATTCATGTGAATCTGCTCCAATTTAGAATGAAAACATTGCTTGAGCAAGGAGCACCTAATAAAATAATGCCAATTCCAATTCACTTTACATTTGCTAATGCATCACACATTTACAAATAAGGTTATTTTCCATATACTTTTTCTGATCCCATGATTCTAGAACATGAACAATTTCTTCGATTGTAAAATATTATTAACTGGATGAAAATGAATTATTATTTCAGGTTTAGTGATGTTTTTGTAATAGCTCATACAGTTTATGTAATTTTCATCATATTCACTGATGATCACCAGTTGATAGGCCATTTTATTTGTATCATAATTATTGTAGTGTGGATCACTGGCTCTTTGATGAATGTATGAAAAATTATTTGTATTTTATAATATTTATTGTCATATTGGCAAATTTTGTGATTTATTTACTAGTTCAAAAATAAAGATATATTTTTATACAATATTCAGTAATTGTTAGTATTATAATTGATAAATTCACAATGATAGTATTTTTTCTGATTGAATTTATATCATGTTTGTTTATGAGAAATTATTAATTGGTACCCAATATAGGAAATTATAGTTCTGAAGATTGATGAAACAAAACATATTATTTTGAATGTCTCTTGAATTATGACTAAATATACAATAATCGATCTAATTTCAATATTTCCTCTGGATTATCATATTGAAGATAATTTAGCATTTTAGTCATTCCATTTATATTTCATATTCATGTATTATTAGCAATTAGAGAAATTATATATTTATCTGTAATTTTACAATATATATATTTTTTTGGTGAGGGACAGTAATTTTCATTACACACTCAGAATATCTAGAAATTCGAAATCATCATGATTTGATATAAAACGAGGATATATTTATAATGGAACAAATTATACATATATTCATATATACAAGTTGTCTCACAACAATGTACCATACATTCTACAGGGTGAACTACACTGAGAGAAACTGGATATTAAAAATATCTACCAGCTCTGATTGTAATAACCATTATAAGGAAATCTCCTATTCCTGATCATTTTATTATTACAACAGTATTCTCTCCATTCTGTAATTATGAAAATCGATTTCTTAAATCATTTGTAATACCCTTGAATGGACATTTGCTACCATCATAACGCAGGTGTGTTATGACATTATGAGAATTTTATAAATTCCAGTCTATTCAGATTTTTTATTGACATAGCTCGTTTTGTGAATTATGCTCATTGGCGAATTCGGATAATGTTTGTCCCAATAATCATAGCTGTTTGGGTTTCTAGCATTGTACGTTGACGAATAACTCTAGCAATTCACATGTATGACGGTTATTAGGCAATCATTCGACAATCGTAATTCGGCTCATTTCGCTCTAGTGTTTCATTAGTATTGAGGCTGACAAAGATACAGATCGCGTTCATTTCTCTGTTCTCGGTCATGGGTGCCCGTGTTCAATTATTGTTCAATGGTTTCAATCGTCCGAATCGAAAGAGATGTGTCTTGTTGGTGAATGTCTGTGATGTAGCAAAGTTTTGTTTTAGTGCTGGCTGTGAACCGATCTGTGGAATACACCGTGCATTGCATTATTGCAATGAAAAAAGTATTCTCCATACCCACTTTTCAAGGCCTAAAATTGGTTTATTTCAAAAACAAAATGATCGATGAGATTCTGAATCAAAATATCTGGGTTTCTGTGAGGGAAGTTTTATTGACAATTCTCATCATAACTCCGAGGGAAGGGTAAATATAAGTATTCAACTTCTCATTTCTTAATAAATTCGTCAGTAATGCATATAGATGATATTTCTCCGAAAAAATCAATAAGTAATGTCAAAAAACTTCCATAGATACCCCAATATTTCAATTCAGAGACTAAACGTATTTTTTTGTTTTTTTGAAAACAATAACTTTGGATCATGAAAAGTGATAGTGTGGATAGGATAAATATTTTCATTGCAGTAATTCAAAGCACGGTTTCATAATGCATACCATCGAATAATGTTGATTAGATAACCTTATTACCACTGTTTGATGAATATACTAGAGTAGAAAAATATTGGGATAACTGTCAGACAGCACAATGACGTCTTAAAGATGTCTTCAAGACGTCGACTCAAGACGTTAGAGACATCTTGAAGACGTCCAGTCAAATCTCAAAGAGGTCCATAAGACGTCTTCAAGACGTCCGTTGTTACAAAATCGGACGTCTTGAAGATGTCTTTATTACGTCCAGTCGAACATAATCTGGACGTCCTAAAGACGTTTCCAGAAAGTAAGAAGACGTCCCAAAGACGTCTTTAAGACGTCAACCCAAGGCATTCTGGACGTCTTCAAGACGTACAGTAAAATCTTGAAGACGTCCATAAGACGTCTTGATGACGTCTGTTGTTACAAAATTAGACGTCTCTAAGATGCCTTCATTATATCCAATCGAACATAAACTGGACGTTCTAAAACCGTTTTTTTAATGTTTGATATAATCATTTGTGCTATAAAATAAATTTGCTACGAATGAAGATTTTATTAACAAGGTAGTAATGTAAGGTATTACATAAATAGTTGAAAATTTCAGCGTCGATGGCTCCCCTTCACTGAGAGCTCTTTTGTATGTTTTGCTGTCTTTAAATGGCGGCCAAAACACTTCCTTTTTCAACGGCGTCAGCCAAGTTTCGTGAACAACAGCTACACTCTGTTGTTTCCACTGTCATTAAATTGTATTACACAATACATCCTGAATACTTTCACGTGAAAAACAGACTGTATAGAAATACCACTCAAACACTTAACATTTTAACATTCTTAACAAATTCACTGGCACAGACGCCGTTCACAAACAACACCCAATCGAACATGGACGATGGACAATGAACATGAACGGGAACGCACCATGCACGATGCAAGCTTGACGCTGAACCACAGAACGGACCGCTGAACGGCACTAACGCCACTAACGGCAGTCGCAAGATGGTTGCGAGTCGCATACACAATTTCTTCGCGTAATTACTTGATCGCCATTGGCCATCTGGTCGGTAAGTGAGAATTGTCTTTGGCGCTAAATTTGAACATTGAAAATCAAGGGAAGCCTATGGAATAAAGTACATTTTTATCATACATTTATACAGTTATTTGGATAAATTAATTAATTTATTATATAACTTAGTTTTCCTATACATACATGATAATAATAATAATAATAATAATAATAATAATAATAATAAAAATAATAATAATAATAGTAATAATAATAATGATAATGATAATGATAATAATACCCAAAAAAATATGAAGACCATAGATTGACGTCTATACGACGTCAAACAGTGACTGTCCATAAGACGTCACATTAATGACGTCCGCATGACGTCATTATTTGGTCAAAAGACGTATGAGACCAAAAAAGACCTTAGATAGCGGTCCTATAGACGTCACATTCGTCAGTCTGGCTACCTGGGTATATACGTCCTTCAGCAGACATCTCTGGGACATACTGGAACAGACGTCTGAAAGATGTCCATTCTATGCCTGTGGAACTTCTTTGGCAAAGGTTAGAACCAAATAATTCCACCAAAATAATCAACAATAATCATTCATTCTGAATCGAAATCGAATATACTGCCCCTTTCACAAAAAATTCGATTCTACAGATCGAATATTTCTGGACTTCAATAAGACATCTTTAGGACATCCATTTCTGGACGTCTCTGAGATGTCCTACAGCAGACGTATTAAAAACATCAATTACAAGACATATCTGGGACGTACTGAAACAGACGTCTAAAAGATGTCCATTCTATGCCTGTGAAACTTAATTGGCGAAGATTAGAACCACATAATTCCACACAAAAAATCAGCAATAATAATTCGTTCTGAATCAAAATTGAATATTCTGCTTCTTTCACAAAAACTTCGATTCTACTGATAAAATATTTCTGGACTTCAATAACACATCTTTAGGACATCCATTTCTTGACGTCTGTGAGACGTCCTAAGATAGACGTCTTCAAGACGTCTATTTTATGCCTGTGGACGTTCAGGCATTATATGGACATAAAATGGACGTCTTTCAGACGTCCGGTGCCGTGTGGGGTTGATGCAGATATCAGATAACTATAATAAAATGAGACGAATTACTGCGTTACCTCAAGATGGTTGTGCCAGTAATAAAAACATGCTGTTTTATGTCGATAGTCTAATAACCACTGTAGAGTGGAGAGTTACTGCAACATTTTATGGGAATAATTCCTATTCGACATTCTGTGTTATCATAGAAACTAGAACAAGTAGTAGTTATTCAGCAGCGGTGTTTTTATACAAGTTTGCAAATTGAATAAGCTGCCATAACTAGAAGTCACCTGAAAATTCACTTCATCTATGGTAGAACATGAACACATCTGTCCCCTATTTATTGCAGATATCGTTATAACGGTTATCAGATTTCCAAATATGATAACTCAAGTTTTCTCTCAGTGTAGAGACTGAAATGGGCCGATTGACAAAACGTCACCTCTATCCTTGATGATTATATACACTAAAAATGCAACATTGAGCCGTGAGAGGGCGATGAATAATAACTTTAATTCCAGATTTTCTTGAATATTTGATAATCCTTAGAAGGTACTGCTCTAAAATTCATGGCAATGTAAAACATATTATACCAATTTAATCAATGTACAGGGAAATAGGTATCTCGCCTTTGCTTCGATTAAAATTGATGTACACGTCACTGACCACATTCTGATATTGCCACGAACGAAAAAATTAATTCATTTTACTTGATCATTTGGAATTTTCTCACCTTGTTTCGAAGGTACTGCTCTAAAATTCATGGCAATGTAAAACATATTATACCAATTTAATCAATGTACAGGGAAATAGGTATCTCGCCTTTGCTTTAATTAAAATTGATGTACACGCCACTGACCACATTCTGATATTGCCACGAACGAAAAAATTAATTCATTTTACTTGATTATTTGGAATTTTCTCACCTTGTTTCTGTGACATGAAAATATGAATATTTTTTCAATATATGTGTAGTAGGACAAATCAGATGATTTGCCCCAAAATGTCACTGCGTTCAACAAATTTTTCTATCAGGGATCATCAAAGAATTATCAAATAGCTTGTCAGTGACACTGTTAGGAAAAATGTTTGAATAAGAGAAGAAATATAGGTATATTGAAAAAATATCGAATTTTCACTCAACTTTAAACGTTTCGGGAACGAATATCTGCTCCCTGTTCAGTTGATATAGATGTGTTTATGAAAGTCAGTGATGACAGAACTTGAAAAACACAAAAAAATATATAAAAATATCACACCACCTGTAAACCGGAAAAGAGGCTCCGTATATACATGCAAATATTTCAAGTTTTGAGTAAGCTCAACGTATAGTATCGAGTGACACTAATAAAAAAATATAGGGATCAAAATGAAATTTGAGGTTAGACTTC